TGGAGGAGATCGATATCCTGGCGTCGCAGGCGCTGTCGCAGGGCGGCGGCGAGTCCCCCCCGAGAGGCGCCTGGGGCGCCCGGGCCTCCTTTGCGCTGGGCAACGGCAGTGCGCAGCCGGCGGCTGGGCGGCCCGGGGGCGGCGGCATCGCCGGTGGGAGAAGGAAAGGTGGGAAAGATCCCTGTTTTACACTAGGAAACGCTGCTGTGGCCCGTGTTAGCAGCTGGTGTTCTGCATTACTGCCTTATCCCTCAGAAAGGACAGTGCCCTGGTCATAAATACAGCACAAGGGACTGAATTTCTGTATGTGTTGGCACTGCTGGTATTTATAGTTCCTCCAGATCAAAATGTTTTCTGTTAGCCCTTGCTCGTGCAGGTGGCAGTAACTAAACTACCTCGCTAGCATTGGCTGCAGTTACTGCGGTTCAGGTAGTAATTCTGTGTATGCTCTTATGTATTAATACACTAGAAATGGTTTTGGGGGTGGGGGAATGAGATTTTCCTTCTCTGTTCTACAGATTCCTGCACAAACTGTAATAAAGTTACTGCCATGATCAGATGTGTGCAAATTAACTATTTTTAGTGACAAAGTATTAAAAAACATGTGGTGGTGGATAACACAATTTTTAGGTGTTGGATCATCGCTGATGTTTCTCGTTCTTGCTTCTTTTTTTTTTCCTTCCGTGCAACAGGAAGCATTGCAGACGATGGTCTGATTAGAGAAGCTTTCCAGTTTGAAGTATTGCAAACACAGCATGATGAAATTAAGCAAAAGGTTAGCAATATCTTTTCTTCCTCTTTGGATTCCTTGCTATAGGAAGGCATGTATGTCACATCTTCTGATGTGGTCAATTAAAAGGCAGGTAGAGTTTGTTCCTAGTTGTGTTTTTCAATCTTCTGATATATAAAAAGCATCATTCTAAAATCAGCATGCACACCATGTTCAATACAGTAAAAGGCAGGTAGAGTTTGTTCCTAGTATTTCTTTCTTGTGTTTTTTAATCTTCTGATATATGAAAAGCATCATTCTAAAATCAGCATACACACCATGTTCAATACAAGGATAAAGCATAGCTTTATATTGTGGTTAGATGTGTCTTTCTTCATCGTTCTTCGTGATTTTCTGGATAGCTACTTCTGTTCCAGTCCTATTTCTTAGTGATGATGTCTCTCTGGATGGTACAGGAACATATACCTTTATTGCATTATAGTTCTGTCAGAGAAAACAGTAGTCGAGCCTGATTTAATCAGAAACAGATAAAAAGCAGCACTGCAGAAGGTCTGAACTGGGTAACAGAAGCATTATCTCCATAGAAAGAAAAAATTGCAACACTTTCAACAGCAGAGATAATGATGCATGTTTCTGGTTAAAGATGTAGTCCAATGAAATTCATCTGTTTGCAGCTGAAAGAAATGCAAGATGAAATTCTTACTAAAAATGGAGAAATTAAAATATTGCGAGACTCAATGCAGCAGATGGAGTATGCTATAGAGGAACAGAAAAAATCTTATACTCTACTGGAACAGGAGAAATCTCAGATCCTAAGCGAAAAAGAAAAAGAGTTCTCCAGAAAGGTTTGTAACTGTCTTAATTATTTGTACCTCACATGCAGAAAGTAGTTTTATGACTTCAATGGTGCCACAGGCCTTTTGGTCAAAGTGAGGGCGTTTGTGTGAAATTTCAAAAATAGTTATGCATTAATTTTGTTATCTAGAAAAAAATAAGAACTTTTTCAGAGTTTTCTTTTGCTAAAAGAATAAGCTTAATGGCAGAGGTTTTTTCTTTTAAGGGATTCCCTGAGCATTACAAATAGAACATATTCTAAAATGGAAAAATTTGGGCAGCACATGCCCTGTGACTGTGATCATCTGATTGCTGTTCCTATTGCATTCATTTTTCTCAGAGCCTTGAGAATGACAGTGGCTGCTAATGTGCTGTTTACTTCCTTGTTAAGGACCTCTGCAGTTGTGACACCATTATTTGATTCTCCTACAGTAAAACCATGCGTTTTCTTTCATCTTTCAGCTGATTTCATTACAGTCAGAGTTGCAGTTCAAAGACGCAGAAATGAATGAGTTAAGAACACGACTTCAGAACAGTGAAAGAAATAGGCTTGTTACTCCAACGGTTTTAACGCCAAGGTACCAATTTTGGGAAATGGAATTTGTTTGCATTTTTACAATGCATGGGCTTAAAGTGTTGTACATGTTTTCTTTCTTCATGTAACTTAGTTCCGTTTTCTTGAAATAATACAACAAAAAGTCTTTTGACTACCATGGAACTTGCTCTCAAAGAGTTTTCCACGTCTGACACAAACGCAGAGGGAAAAGCTTGTTGCTTGCTGCACAGACTTCTCAATATAATGTATGTTATACTCGGCTGCTATAGTCAGCATACATCAGCTGTTTGCTTCAACATATCTGAAGACTGAAAAACATAAAACTCTATCCAGATCAGTCCTTCAATTCGTGTTCATTTTATTGAAAGAAACTGTAGTACTGTCTTACTTGGAAGTTTTTCCATTTTGCCACTCTCTTTCAATGAAATGAAGAGCAGTTGCTGTCTTCCAAAAGACAGAAAACTCTGCTAGGGTGAAACTTCCAAGTCCTCACTTTTGGTGTTGCAACTACTCTGTAGTTCTTCTCTGACCAGTAACCTCTATGGCTTTGTGTGAGAGGAGAAAGAAAATACAGAGGGATGCTGAGCATATCTCTCTGCTCATCTGATTAGCTCTAAATTGTACAAAGTATATTTGTTTATGATCTTCTGGTTGTTTTGGGGAGTGATTGTATGAATTTCTCCAGTGTTTCCTAGAGCTGATTCCTGGTTTATTTGAAGCCCATTCTGTTCCCTCAGGGAACAGAAAGAACATCCAACGTCATGCCTCTCCATACATATTAGTCCAAGATAATAATTGCTTCCTGCCTTAAGATTTTTGAGTTTTAGGAAACTTAATAGATGTGTTCTTAAAATTTGAGAGCTAGACTTGATGGCCTAGAAACCCAGGTTTTCCTTTCTGGAATAATTTTCAATGAACTGAAATCTTCCAGTATATTACAATTCCTATGGTGTACTCTAAACTGGATATCTTGCAATACAAAAGATGAAGCTTTTCTCAGACGAAATGTTCTACAATAAGCTGTTCTTTTCCTAAACGTATATTCATTGTTTGTACAGGTGAAGTCATTCTTTTTTTTGTGAGGAATCTGCTTTTGCAGATTATAAATTATTTTAAAATAATAGTTTATATTTTCAGCTTTCTTCTTGAAATCCCTTTAAAATAGTTTATATTTTTAGCTTTCTTCTTGAAATCCCTTTAAAATATTAATATTGCCAAAGTTATTAAACAGTGATCTGTTATCTAATAAAGTAACGAGGCAAAAAGTGTTTCACCAGAGCACTTGATTTTTATTTTAGTCCTAAAAAAAATCATGCAATCCCAGTGAAATCAGAAGGATGCTCTCCACAGCCTGGAAAAAGATCTTTTCCTACAAAAGAATCTTTCAATGCTGAAATGTCCACTAGACCATCTTCCTCTTCAGGAAATATGTTTATCCAGAGCTCTTTGATCAAGGAAGGTAAGGTGATACATAACTTGCAACATTTTCAGCTACGTATACAAAATTCTACCTTAGGTAAGGCTGGTTGTTGTTGCTTTTTATACAATGTGGCTAAACAGTTTCAGTAACTTCACTGTAGGAAAAAACCCAAAGTTTTTCTTTAATTTTTGTCTCTACTTAAAATTTTTTGATCTAATTTTTTGTTAAACAGCAGCAACTGAAAGTTGCACTGATATGTTCTCACCTCGTGCCTTGTATGTTGGTTGTAGTGAGCAACTTTCTTTTATTAGGTGATGAACTTAAATATCCAAATTAGTGCCTGCCTTTCTCACTAAAGAAGCCAGAACAAGAAATACTTGTCATGTTTCTTTAATAGGACTGCAATTAACTTAGAGATTTGTTTATTACCGTGCTTTGGTTTTAATAAGCAGACCTTTTTTGGCAGTTTTTTGTAAGTGGTTTATGTTTAGCCATGTCAAAAAAAAAAAAAGAAAAAAAGGAAAAAAAGAACTGAAACAGTTTATTCATTTCCTATTTTATATGTACTTCTCAAATATATCTTGAAATGAATTGAGCAAAATGTAGGAAATAAATATAAGTTGTATTTGGAGATCGCTAGCAATAAGCAAACAGTAGGCTTGAAACATAACTCTTGCTATTCCCTTCAGACCCTTGCTTCGACAGGGATGAGCCCAGTTACCAACACTCAGTATTCCTATTTGTTGGAAAGTGACACTGATTATTTGTCTTCTGAACCATACAAGGCTTTGGGCCTCACTTCTGGGTCATAAGCATGATGGATGTAGCTGACTAAAAGATTATGAAGTGTTCAAACATACTAAGGTTTCTGAGAAATGTATGTTTATTTTTAACTAATACAATCAGGTAAAACTCTGCTAGTTGTGGGAAGTCAGCTTTAGGGTTTTTTTTCTAGAGGAAAAGAAGGGAGCAATGGTACTGAAGAATCTGTAGAACATTCAGCAGTAAAGGTGAAATTTTAGTCAGCTTTCTAATTTCTTTTGCCAAGTAGTCAGTTTTGCTTGGTACACAGCTCTTAGTAATAGCAAATTAATACTATAGTTGAATTTTACAAGATAAATGTTTTCAGTGGTCTACGATCTATTTACTTGCTGTATCACAAAAACAGTTATTTGAATGCGTGTAAAGCATAGATACAGATTTTTAAACAATCTAGTTATAATATTAGAATTATCCTTATTATTGTTTTAGAGAGCAAGATACTTTATCCTGAAGATTTATCTGTGAAGCAAGAAGCAAAGGGAAAAAACAATTCCTACAACTCTGTACATAAGCAAAACACTCAAGGTAATTTAATCTCTTAATAAAAGTATTTCTGAGGAACAATTGAAGCACAATTATCAAGCAGTGTGGTAGTGATGAGACTGCTGTGTACAACATCACTGCAGAATTGTGTTAGTGACCTGTCTCTTTATTACTTTGAATATTGTGATTCTGCAGTAAAATATATATCTTGTTTCCTAACAACACTACTACACTGTTATTGTATGGAAGAAAAATATTGGCCAGATTTTTGGTTTATAGAATACAAATCAAAGTTGGTTATTACAAGACTGATTCTATCAATATGAATGTTATGCTTGCTTTTTATTGTAAATAGTTATAAAGCAAGAAAAATGCACATTTTTCATGTAAGCAAAAACAATTAGAGGAACACGTACAACAGTCAACACCAGGAAATCTTCAATGTACGATTTTATTTTGATTTCAGAACACAATCGTGTCACATGTTTTTAAGGTCTGGACCAGAACTTGTAGGGCAAGTGAATGGGATAGCTGGCTTGAGATATTTTATGAATAAGAAATTATAATGTAATATACCTAAACATCTAATTTAGTTACTATTTATATCATATTTTAGTATTTCTGGAAATCATTCTGTAATTAGAAGTAGAGAAGGACAGCAGCATTGTAATAAAAAAAAAAAAAAAGAGATCATGTATACTGTAAAAAAAAAAAAAAAAGTTAATCTTTTGGAATACGATTTTTCTTTTAATATTTATATTACAGATAATAGTAAAGGTATTCCAAAGAGAATTATTTATCCTTTCAGGTTCTATCTTACTAAGTGCATTGATGAAGCAGCCTGTTGTCCCTGGGTCTTTACTAGGGCTCTGTCATCTTCTTAGCAGTAACTGTGATGCTCTACCAGGAGCTGCCTTGAAGCCTAAGTTTTTGGATTCGTAAGTTTGTGGGTTTTGTTTTTTAAATCCTAAACTCTATACTAAGGAGGGATCACTCATGTAAGAAACTACATTATTTATGTCAGATGCTCTTTTGGTTAGGCCATTTGATGAAAAAATGAACACCATTCTGCATTTTTGTTTATTAAGAATAACAATTATTGTAGGTACTAAACGCTTTAGCAGCACTAGAACTATTGTAATTTTGTATTGGGGGAGGCAGAGAAACATGTTTTTAGGAACCTCAGAATGGTTGTTAGCACCTGTTATTATTAATGATTTGAGAGCATGGAATTTGCATTACAGAGGGAGAAGCATATGTGGGGATACTTGAAACAGGGATATACACTTGATCAAGAGAAACACTGAAAAGCGGATCAGAAAAGAACAGTAGAGCTTATGTTTGTCTAAATTATATATTTTTTTAATATAAAAATAATTGGCTGAATATGCTTTTAAAAAATACTGTAACCCATATTTCAAGTGTTTGTGCAATAACACTTGATATGCTTTCTTTTTAAAAAAACAAAAACTGTTGAAGTATTTCCCTTCTTTTAATTTTATTTGGTTAGGAAGTCCACAGGAATACCCAGCAACAGGACAACTCGAGAAGAAATTGCTTCTCTTGTATCCCTGAGAGAAGCACAGAAACTTGCAATAACAGGATTGAACTTGATTGCTATGGATGAAGAGTCATCTGAAGGAAACCGAGCAGAAGGTGGGGAAGAGTTTTCACACCTCAAACGTTGCAAGATCCGAGGTGCTGTGCATCTCTTGCCCTTGGTAGAACACTATGTTGGTGCATACTGTCAAGCAGTACAACTGGCAGACAAGTCAGTAACTGGTTCTTGTGGAAGCCATTCTGTTGTTTCTTCCAGAACTAACACAAATGTGGTATCAAGTAAGGAAGACTTCAGATCATCTCTTGAAGAAACTACAGTTGTATCTCTGGGCATTCTTTATTATTTGGCATTTTATAGCTGGGATGTTGTTCACACATTGCTTTCTTCTGAAATAGAAAGAGACTCTGCTGTTGGAGATGAGCAGATTTCCAAGAGGGACAAAAATACGTTGTGTGACAATCAGTGCGGTAATAAAGAAGATGCCAGAACACAAGGAGGATTACATGTTGCTCCACAGGATGAACCTAATGATGATCGAGCTCAACACTCTTTGTTCAAAAAGCTGCTTCAGGTTTTAGCTTTTTCTGCTACCAAAGGCTCCCAGATTGATAGTATACTGAACCAAAGCCTAAAGGTTTTGGTAAAATTAGCAGAAAACTCAACAATGGACTTGCTAATAATGTAAGTCAGAGATAGCATTAAAATATCCCATACCCTTCATTGAGTAGAAGACTTTAATCTCTGTTGAAACTCTAATTTGTGCAGATGACCATAAAAATTATGACATCAATGTGACACGTTCCAGTGCTTTGCTGCCCATGAATTTGATAACTGCCCTACATCAGTGACAAAATTTGATTATAAATTTATATTAACTAATTGTTGTTGCCTTGTTACATTGTTGTAGCTTGAAAGTAAGAAAACTTCTTAAGACTATAGGTGGTTGATTAGAATATCTATAACATTCATTCTGGATTGCTTTTTTGTTGTTGTTTGCAATTGCTGGTATATGCTTAAGGAAGGGAAACACTTGGCTTTCATTCTGGCAAGGAAATTTTGCCTGCTAATAGTCTAAAATACAATCATAGTGTGAACTGCAGAATATAATGGAAAATATTTTCAGTGCACTTTTTTTTATGGCATGTAATTTGAGATCAGGTGTGTTCAGAATGGCTAAAAAGGCACAAATTATGATGCTCTGTACAAGAAATGGGATATTACTCTCTACTTATCGGTGCATTTCCCATGTTTAATTCTGATTTTCGTTTAAAGTTTTCAGGACTTATTAAATAGCCAGACACTGTTCCGTTGTCTGTGTCCAGACACCCCTTTGCATGCCGTCCTTTTGACCGTGAGACTCCTGTCTATATTTGCTCAACATCGCGTGTTGGTTGCTCAACTTTGTTCTCATTCAGGTAAAAAATTGCCTAATGCAGAAGATTTTTATCAATTGAATGTTAGTTAGCATGACTTAAGGTAATAAAAATAAGCCTTGCTGAACTGTATTAAAACCTAGAAAGGTAGACCCTAGTCTGTTAGGTGAACCTTGCTTTCTACTACTGAGTTTCAGTTATTGTTTGGAAAGTATTTTATCTTCTGATATGTCTGCAGGGCTTTTGACACCCATGTAGATTTTTAAAACCACTTTCAAGATTCACGCTTATTATATTAAAAGTTGATGAGGAAAAAGGGCTTTTGAGGTGGTAAAGGTAATTCCAGGCTGTAGAATATCTGCACTTTGTGACATTGTAAGTTTGCGGATTTCAGTGATTTGTGCGACAAAGTCCAGTTCCTTATCAATGAGGGAGGGAATATTATGTTAAGTTTAGAGATATTAAGTGATACCTTTTTTTTTTTTAGCACTGCTTAAAAAGTCTGCAGTCTATGTATTTTCTGTAATGTTTTCCTCTGACAAAATTAATCATTGTCATAAAGAGTTGAATGTTTGGGAAAAGAACAAAGCTGTCTTTATTTCAGACACATGCCTTCTTCTTGCACTGTACATGTATATTACATCAAGACCAGATAAATCTGCATCTGAAATGCTTTGGCTTCAGTTAGAACAACAGGTAAATGCACAATTTTGTACAAGTGTGTTTTTCTTGCTATTTCCTGTTTGGGCTGGTGAGGGAGCAAGAGGATGCCCAAATTGACTGAAAAAAGAAAAAGAGTTCTCAGCCCAACAGAAACTGAACATCTCAGACTTCAGTTGGCCTCTGTAGTGAGGGATTATGTTTGCTTTTAAGAGCTGCTGTTTGGAAAAAAAAAAAAAGTGTGTGAGGGGAAGCTATTGTTGAAGATAATGTCTTCAAGACATTATTGTATGTCATTACATAGCAGTCATAGTGAAGTCATTAAAAACAGGAAATGTCGTAGGATATTCAACATGTTCAAGACCTTTGTGGTCAAATGTTTGAAATTTTAGTCCACTTTTACAGTGGTAGAAGAGTAAAAGGAAGCAGAATCTGTGTTTCATTTTGATTGCACTAATTGCTTCTGAACTGACGAGTTGTATTATGCATGAATGACAGTCTGTGGCAACTGATCATTATATTAATTGCATTTAGTGAAATAGTAACTGGCTGTATAGCAGTCATTAAATATAGGAAGAAGGCTTTTGTACTCAGTTTGTACTGACAGTGGCAAGTTGTTCAGTGGCATTCTACCATTTTGCTCCACTTGAAAGATTTTTGAACCATTTTGTAAAACTACTTTTACTGTCTTCTTGCCTGCACTGTTATGTAAAATACATTTTACATCCACTGAAATAAGTCTTATTACACCTTGCCAGCTCTTCTCGTCAGAAAGCTGGAAAGGTTTCTGTATAATGCAAATTCCATCTCTGTAAAGTTTTCAGAAAAATCGTTAACAAATTTTGGGGGGAGAGGCAGAGGGATCAACTTTTAACTAAAAGAAATGCTTGAAACTGTAATGAAATGTCATTTTTTACTTCCCTTTATTCGCAGCATAATTATTTGATAATTCTGCAGAACCCTAGTACTCACTGTAATGCACTCTGCGTGTTTTTGTAATAGACGCTTAGACTCCTGACAAGTTGCATGCGGTGTTCCAGTCCAGCAGTTTCACTCTTTGCCACTGACTGCCAATGTAACCTTGAGGTATGTCACCAGTGTTGAGTCTAACCTACTGAAAACCTCAAGATACACCTAACAATATTAAATACCTTTATGCCTTTTTTTAGCTGCCCTTGAACAGAGCTGTACTGTATTTTAAAAGCTGCCTTCTCCAGAAAAGCTTGCTTTTCCTTGCTAGAAAATATTTCAAGACTTGGATGTTTGAAAAGGTTGATAAGATCATAATGAGATAAGTGTTCTATCATTGTAACTTTGTGTACTGAGTCATTTTATTCCTCTTCCAGGTGGTCAAGGCACTAATTGTCATGTTACACAGACAATGGATGAAGATCAGAAGGTCTGAGAGCACCTTGTGTACATACAAAGAACATGTTCTTCAGTTTTTACGGGATGCTGTTTTACTCTTACACAGTCTATCTCAGAAAGATAAACTGTTTCATGAACACTGTTTGGAAGTGCTCCATCAATATGACCAAGCCATGCCTGGTGTAAGAGCCATTCTCAAAAAAACTAAAAAATTGAGTGCCTGTGAAGGTAAGAATTAGTAAAATTATAAGTTGCTTGTGTGTGTGTGTGTGGTGGAGGGTTGGTTTTGTTTGTTTCCTTTTTGATACTAGGGAAATGGCAATTCCATTTGTGCCCTTTTCCTCATTTAACAAGTACCATGTACTAAATACCATGAATGTCTGTTGCTCAGACCAAGAGGGCAATCTATAATGTAGTGTTCCTCAAACTTTATTATACTGAACCACTGCTCTTTAATATTTTTTTCTCTCTTTTCTCTATACAAATATGCTCCTACCATCTGATCAATGAAAACCTGTACTCCAGCTTTGTTTTAGCTTAGCCATCCATATTAAATATTCTCTCTCGCTAAAAATCATTACTCCTTGTCTCCAACTAGCATTACCTCTGTTCTATTCCCTGCATCTTCAACTATATATTTTTTTCTTCCTCTTTCCTCCCTGGCTCTTCCTCTACTTACCTCAATGCTTTTCCAGCAAAGACACTTATCAGGACTTGCCTTGGCTTTGCACATTTCCTGTCTCTGCTTCCTATAGCCAGTTCCTCTATAGAAGTTGTCTTTCATCTCAGAGCTGTTGTGTTATTTCTTCATTCAGTCATAGAATTATTTACTTCTGTGTCTTAAAGCTAGTGTGAAGATGATGCTCTTGTGTCAGTATGAAGGTTGCTGCTAAATGTCAGACAATGTATCTGGCCGTATTTAGAGCCAAGTGGTAAATGTTGCCGTGTTGGGAGGAGCATTGCATCAGAAAGGCAGTGCCAGTGCAAGCTGGCCAGTGCTCTGAAGTGACTTGCAAATGTGATTTTCTTGTTGCAGAGCTGATTTTGGATGAATTGTATCCTCCTGAACCAGAAGAGGAAGATCAAGGAATGGACTCCAGCTAGCTAACATCTAGCAAGATCTCTATCCTTCCTTAGCTAAAACTTATTAATCATTGTCAGTGTAAATCTGAAATTTAAATGAACTATTTTATTTTTAAGTGATAAAGATGTAACTGATATAAAAGAAAATGTGATGTAAGAAACAATTATACTGAAATGTACTGTTTTGCTGTGCAAAACTGCTTGTTGGCTTATGAATCGTTTTCCTTGTGAATTTTATCCCTCATGAAATCGCTGCAGATGAACTGAAACTTCACTATTGTGTTCTCCATTTTATTGTGACTACAGCCTTGTGATGTTGGAGGTGATGGATGTTGGGATCACTGAGCTGATACGGAAGTGTTTTGAAAATATTTTCTCTGTTCTGTATCTTTTGCAGATGTAGCTTTCTTGCTTGATTTCAAGAATTTTCATGCTGACATTAGTAAATAGTTTACTGTGATTTTAAAACTTTTTTTGTAGAAAAAACTTACAGTTTGCAGTTAAGTTCTGTGCAAGAAATTCATCAAAACCCTCTAGTGATTACCTCAGTGCACTTATTTTCCTCAATTTCATATTTCTGCTGAAAGTACAAGTATTGAGGTGCCAAACTTATCTTAGATAAATGAGATGGTGAATGTTGAAGATAATACTCTCTTATTATGCAAGAGGAGAATGTTTAGTCTGTGCAGAATAACAATTTTTTGATTGTAGTATCAGAATGTGCTGGAGTTATTTCTGCTGAGTTATTTCCCTGAGCAACAAACAGGGGCTTTGCCCTTTCAGATCTGTTTATCGTCTTGCTTGCAGGTATCCTGCAACCTGAACCCTAGGTCATAAAAAGGGAAGTATAAATGCTACTAAAATAGGTGCACAGACTTGCCTTTTAACTAGTTCTGAAAGTCTTAGTTCTTGTCTGTGTGTGTTTTTTGTTGTTGTTGTTTTGTTTTTTAAACTTTAGTTACAGTAATTACAAATAAATGCTGCCTCCTCTTTCTGCTACAGCTGGCAGCTTGCTGCCAGGCCTGGCCTGTTCACTGCTGTAACACAACCTCTCTGCAAGCCACTGACGGGACCTCCCAGCAAAAGGTTTCGGTTCTGCTGCAGCAGCTGGAGGAGGAGGGTCCTTTTCCCGCTGAAGGGAAAC